TCAATAAACAGTACTTGATACATCAAAAATAATTTTAAAAGTCTATGTCAAAAGCTTTATAGTATAGTATAGATTACTAATACAAAAAAAAATGAAGAAAAACAATAGGAAAAAAGGTTGAACCCGTGAAAATTTTACTAGCCCATCTCTATTATTAACACTAGAAGGGTACTCGCGCAATGCTACGAGATACATCTCCATTTTAATGTTTCGTTTTATTTTTCATTTTTGTTAATATAATACAGTTTATGTGGTTTTGATAAAGTATATTAATATTAATATCGAATTAACTATTTAAAAGTTCTTGTTTTTTTATACAATTTCTTTAATTCAATTTTTTTAATTATACTTTAGTTTAGGTCAAAATGAAGTAATTTATGTTTGTCTTACCAATAAATCTTTTATAAAGATAATGATTCTGTTAGAACTCAATAATTATGTTTATCTGCAGTTAGTTATACGAATTCAAAATGGAGCTTTAATAAGTTGTACATACGCATAGTTTATTTGTAATCTTAAATTTTAAGTGATATGCATTAATACATAATATTTAATGCATAAATGATAGTTTTTAAGAGTTTTTGTCAAATGTTTTATAATATAGTATATAGATAATTTTCTGAATTTTGAATATTTGGACAAAAATTCGATTACTAGCAACTGCAACTGGCCTCACACGAAACCGTTTTCTAGGACACAAATGTGGGTACATTTTTTTCACTCACTCAACAGTTGACAACTAGAGAGGAAGCCCAAATCAAACCCAAAACATGTCTTGTATTTAGATAAAGTCATTTCATCCCTTTATCAAATGAATTAATAAAGGCTATAAAATTTTATATTTTCCGTAAACAACAAGAAAGACATGACACGTGAAAAGGTTACATGTCAGCACAAGTGACACGTCATCAAGATAATCTTTTGGGGGTGACACGTGAACTGCCAGCGGCTCATTTTTATGAAAACATTACACGTCATCAAATCTAAGTAGTTTGGTTAACTCATGTGAAGCAATCTCATCAACACTTGCTCCTTTTGACCAAACTCACTTTTTGCCACGTCACTTGTTGCCACGTCAACATGACTCATTTCATATTTTTCCTTCCCAAATTTTTTACAAAACTGAGTTACTCTTTTTAATATTAAAATGAAAATATGTTTTCAAAATTACTATTTTAGGCTCCTGATAAGTCAACTCTTCAAGTTATCTGGAGGATTTTCTTGTCTATTATTTAAGACTTTTAAGATTAGTTGAGATATGTACAAGCTGGTTTGGACATCCACTGTTAACAAAAGACTTGACATATTTATAGTTATGTGTTGTTCAATAATGGCTTAATGAGCTTATATTGCTTGCTAAATAAGCTATACAAAAATGTTTGTTTGTGGCATACTGCGTAAGATAACAACTTATTCACCATGGGTTGTAGTCCCTACCCTTTCTTGTATCTATTCAGCCATGAAATTGACTCCTCGTACCACTCAGCACCGTCGAACTCGTTGTTCCTCTCCTGCTTATTGTCTCCTTGCCTCATCCTCTATTAGATCTGCTTTACTGGCACTCAAATTCTCCTTCTCCATCTCTAAATCTGAATCTGAATCTGAAATTTTAGTTTGAAGATACTGAAAGAATGCTCGAAAAGTTCTTCATCTTTAGATGATGAATTTTTCGTTTTTAAGCATATGCCTCTTCTTGTAGTAGATCTTTTTCATCAATTATGGTGGAAGATATTTTCTTTTTTTAATGGGACATTGATTTCTACCTTTTCCTAAACTTAGTTCACGTTTGTTTTTTAAAAAATGTTGAAGTCTGAAGTCTGATTTTACTTCTGATTTATAAGAGGTGGTCCTGAAATCTGAAATCTGAAATCTGGATCAGCAAGATTGTTTGTTTTTACTTTTAAAATCTGAAATTTGAATCAGTCAAACTAGTGTAAAAATATAAAAGATAAATAGTTTTTTTACAAAGGTATAAAAGATAAATAGTTTTTTTTATTAACTTGGATATCCAACCTGCTATACGAGCCAACTAATCTCAGGGTGACCACTTGCTTTACAGATAGTCTGGAGTCACCGCATTTAAACCTACGTGGCCACAAGAGATTTTTGCAAATAAATAGTTTTTGCTAACAAATCTCTTCCAACCCCCAAAATATGAATCATTTAACTTCTTCTAACACTTTTAGTGTGTTTTCAATTTAAGAACATATTAAAAATATAATTTCTTTTTGAAAATATGTTTATTTTATGTTGAGTTGTTTGCATTTAAAAATAATAATATATGATTTTGTTTTTATTTTTTATTTTTATAAACAAATTTTATAATGCATGTGACTAAGGAAGACGTAGGTAGATGGATTGACAATTAAAAGCCTTTAATGAGTGAAGGCCACGTATTTGATTTACAGTTAATATTGCATCATTATGACGTAAGCGATCAAATATACCACACAATGATGCGACCAAATATACCACACAATGATGCCAACACTCATATCATACCATTATAATTAAGGTATAAACGATACAAAATAACTCGTGACCTACTTGAGATCGACTCCGTCAAAATTAGATTAACATTCGATTCGAATAGGCTCGGCTTGAACTCGGGCTTGATTCGACATAATTAACGAGTCAAATCAAGCTACCAAATACTTCACTCGAAAAACTCGTGAGATACTCAATTATTTTATATATAATTAGTTTTAAAATATAATTAGTTTTTATAATAAAATTTGTAAAAATGTAAATAATAAAAATGCCTTATATTTTTTAATATTTGAACAAAATTATGTATTTTTTAATTATAAAAACTAATCAATTATATTTTATTAAAATCACAATTAAAAAAAAACTACAAAACTGTTGGTGAAATTGTTCTACATTGGAAGAGAGATGGTAAACGAAATGAGAAAATATGTTATAAAAAGAGAATGAGGTGAATGAAATTTCTAACTTTGTCTTTTGGATGATGAAGTTTCAAGTGGATCCCTTTAGTTTTATAAAAACTAAGAGAACACCATCAAGTTTTAAAATTTATAAGAGAATACCCTTAAATTTCATAAATTTTAATGGGTGAACTTGGTTCGAGTTTGATTCGAGTTGCAGTTCGAGCTTCAAATGAGTTCGAATTTAAAAAATTGCAATCGAGTTCGAGTCGAGTTTAGTTTTTAACTACTCATGAGTTTTCTGGAAGTCGAGTTCGAGCTTGAAAAATGGTTATCAAGTTCGAATCGAATATATTGATACTCGAGCAAGAATCGCATCATTTACACCCCTAATTATAATTATAAGCATTTCAAATCTATAATTATACTTCATTTCTAATTATTTTAGTATCAAATTAAAATTTTCAATAACATTTAATTGGTTTTATGTTTATTTATTGGTTATCGATTAGTTTTATAAAATGGAGACTTTCAATTTCAAGAAATATAAATTAAAATCCAAACAAAGGAAAAGAGACACATATAACCCTGATTTTGAAAATGAAAAAGAAATATAATACCGAGTCTGAGGAACTAACAACTCTACTTATACTAACGGGATTTATTAACGTTGTTAGAGAAAAAGACCAAATTCAGACGTTTTTGTGAACTACGATGGTTATCTTGTATTTTCAAAACTCTAAGAACGAAAAATGTTGTAATCGACAAATTTGTAGTTTATTCTTATATTAATAAACTACATCTAAAACCACAAGGGTGTTGCTTGATTGGTTTGAGCTTGGCTCAAAAGGTCAAAAGTACATGGAGGTCTCATGTTCAAATCCAAAGAGGAACAAAAATCCCTTTGTGGCCACGGAGGTTCAAATGCGGTGATTCTGGGCTACCTGCAAAGTAGGTGGTCGTCCTGATATTAGTCGACTCGCATAACGGGTTGGATATCCAGGTTAATAAAAAATAAACTATATCTAATGTTTAATAAGTTGTTTTAAAAGTTTTATCAAATGGTTTATAGTACAATGAGATTATAACAGTTGTAACTGAGTTGGACGGATTGGGTAACACATCAAATTAAGTTTAAATCAATATAGGTAAGTTTTAAGACGAGTCTAAGGGGGTGTTTGAGATGTTTATAGAAACAACTTATTGACTTATTCTCGTATGTCACCGGTAATAAGCAATTTTGAGATAAACAACTTATACGGGTGCCGAACCGTTGATAAGAAGTATTTGAAGAAGTTAAACTCTTATAACTTATAATAAGTTAATAAGTGATTTTGTAAAAAAACATAAGTTGTTTTAAATAAGCAATCTCATACACCCCCTAAATAGTCTAGTTGGGTTGATTCATCAATAGTTTTTTTTTCTTTTCTAATTATTATGTTAATTATGATTAAAAAAAACTATATTATTAAACTAATGAATCAAATTAACTTTTATACATTAAATCAACAATTATAATTATTTACAAAATGAAAATGCGGTTGTTATTTGTACCCCCACCTATTAAAAAAGTCAAAAAAATACCTATTAATAATTAAATTGCCTAAAACTTTGAAAAACTTTTTCTCTCTCTTATGTTCCCTCTCTCTTACTTTTTTTATAATTAATAGATAATAATAATTATTAATTTATAGTAATTATAATTTTTATTTGTATCATATATTAATTAAATTTAAAACCAATAAATTGAAAAACAATAAACCTTGTTATTTATAAAAAATAATATATTATTTATTTTATAATTTTATAAATTTTAACTATATGTATATAGTTGTAAAAAGTCAAAATTATACTTTAATTGATAGTATAAAAAGTCAAAATTAGAAGTCAAAGGGACATAGGGATGCATGGATGCATATGATTTGAATTGAATTATTGAAGCTTTTTGCCGCCTCCAAACGTGATTCCATTACATGCACACCCTCCTCACTTACTTCCTCTATTTATATCTTCCCTCATCTCTCTCTCATCCTTCAAACCATCCTCTATCTCTCTCTCTATATATATACATACATACACATATATATATATACATCTCTCTTAGTAATTTTGGTCATGCAAATCATGGGTTCTCTCTTGCTTTTAAGCATCATCATCATCTTGTCTCTCCAAACCACCATTAATGGCTACAAAGGTGGTTGGCAGAAGGCTCATGCCACCTTCTACGGTGGCGAAGATGCTTCTGGCACCATGGGTATGTGTTTGTCACCTACAACACCACACATGTCATATTCATCATGAATGTTCGATTCATATGAACACTAGTAATATGTCCATATTCATTATGAATGTGTGATTTATAATGAATATTCATCCTCAAGATGGACATGTATGTGTATGTTTTGGACGGTTTTTGGATTTCTAATCAATTTTAAGTTTCTAAAGTAATTTACCCC